GGTCCGAGTTCTAATCCCTTGATATCTGGGCCCTTACATAACGCCCTAAGCTAAACTCTACACGTCCCCTACAGCCGCCACAAGGGACTACCCTAAACTTAGTAGGCCCCCACCTAAGGTAGGTTGCTTTGAGGTTCGGTGCTTCGTTGTTTACAGGCTTCTGGCTTCAGAGTCGAGGTTCCGGGGCTTTAGGATTTACGGATTTTAGGGCTTAGGGTTTAGGGTTAAGGGTTTAGGGTTTTAGGGTTCGGATTTTATGGTTTAAGATTTAAGGTCAAGGGCTTGGGGTTTGAGGGATTTACGGTTTAATTAGGGCTTCATGCTACCCTAAAATGATGGAGAATCAGGTGGAAAAGAACATGGAAAATTACATAGGGAGTTAAAAGTAGTTGAGAAGGGGATTTGGATAACCCCAACCCCAAGAATGCGACACCCGTGTCTCATCATATGAGAGGTGCTGGTTCTTAATTTGGGGGTTGGGGTTAGCAAAATCCTGCCATGCTGCTTTGCATGCACGTGAAAGAAAACAAAAACGCACAATCACCCTGAGCACTAATCCCATAAAGCATGGAAAGTTTAAAGGATGCCGCACCTCTGCGCACATTTGCTTTTCATGGGCAGCCTCTTTTCAAGAATGAAACGTCTCATTCATGTGGTGTTAGGGTTTAAGGTCCACTTCCCAAACATTAGGTTTCCCTGCAGCACAAGAAACGCAGACGCCTGAACAACTGCAAACAGTCTTCCCTTGTAGTCCCTATCACCTATCTATGTATCGTACAATATACCTCAACCCTGCCTCATTGACAGGGCCCTGCACTAAGATGTTTGAGGTCATGCCGCAACAACTCCTCTAAACTCCGAACCTTTAAACCTAAAGCCCTGGGGCCATTAAGCACGAAATCCCACACTCTAAACCTTAAACCCTAAACCCCAAACCCTAAACCTACACCCTGTAAGCTGTTTAAGGTCATTCTACAGCGACTTTGCAATCACTTGGAACAGCTCAAGCCGGACACGCAACCTCCAAAGGACCTGGGTGTAGCTTCTGGGCTCAGGATTTAGGGTTTAGGATTTAAGGCTTAGGGTTTAGGATGTAGGCTTTAGGATTAGAGTTTACAGTTTAGGATTAGGGCTTAAGCTTTAGGGTTTAGGATTTTGATATCAGGGTTCTTCATTTAGGGTTTAGGGCGAAGGGCGTAGCTTTGGGTTTTACTTACCTTATTTATCTGTCCCAGAAGACATATAAAGACGCTGGGAAGATTCAGATGAAGTTGCTGATAATGCTGTAATCGCACGGGAAGAGAATTATAATGGAGAATGCGGGGAATGTGCTGTCGTACGAGCGCCTTTGATCGTTGGCGGCCCTCGTGGCGCGGGAAATGGGAGACATCCTGCACCACCCAAGACATGGGGGTTCCCAAAATTAGCGGCCCCTTTGAAGAGGGATATAGGGATTATCTAGGGGTATATTGGGATATATGGGGTTTAGGGTTTCCAGCATTAGGAGTACTATTTAGAGGGTCCCGCTGATAAGGATGATAGTATTTGGGGCCTATCTTGGGTTCCCCCTACTTACAGAAGCTACCACATATCTGGGATGATTATAACGACGTCAATGACATCAGTGTCTAATTCAAGACATTTAACGACGCAGACGATGTCACGAACATAAGGAGAAATTACTTCTGCAGCGCTTCTACACCGATTAGGGTAAAGCCCCAACCCACGCAAACCTGCTTCCACGTTGCCACGATCAACCTTGAGCGTGCGGGCGCTGTCTGGGGCTCACCTGTGTTAGGGCCATTTTGTTTTGCTACTTTAGGTAAGGTTTCAAATCCAGAGGTCTAGGGGCCCAGAACAGCCCCAGCACACTGTGTTACGGATATTTTGCCGCTTTAGGGAAGGACTCAATTCTAGAGGTCTGGGAGCCCAAAACGGCCCTAGCACACTGTGCTAGGACCATTTGCTTCTTACTTAAGAACTCAACTCTAGAAGCTTCTGGGGGCTAGGACACTGTCCCAGGGTTACCCTTCCAGATCCAGCTAGCTCCCCCTCCGTGCTCCGTCATCACAAACCCCAATTTCTGCTGCAATGAAGGCTCGCGATGCAACTCGAAACGGTGGAAATAAAATACCAGGCAGAAAATCCTGAATTCGCCCGATAAGATTTATTCGACGATGTCACCATTCAAAAACAGAAGGATTTATTATGACATATTATAGTTACCCCAGACGTATGCCTTAGACGTATGCAAAAAGAAATGTGACATTTTGCATTTTCTGTGTTGCAAGCTTTCCTCCATCAGCAATACGGTGGCAATGATTACCCAG